TCGTGCCAGGTCTGGTGCTGGGTGTGGTGAGTGCCGCCCGGGCCCAGGTGCGCCGCCTCGATGAGCCCCCAGCGCCGCTCGGGCTGCAGCACCACCTCCAGCTCCGCGAAGGTCTTGCGGTGCCGCTGCCGCCGCTGGTAGTACAGGGTCCCGTCGCGCACCACGTAGCAGGCGGCCGCCTTGCGTATTTTGCGCTTGACATTGCCCTCGGTGCCCGGCGCGTACGGCTCGCACTCGTTCGTCAGGTAGCGCAGGATGGCCCGGTAGCTTTCCTCGCTTGACATCGCTGACCCGGGGTCCCCGAGGGCGCCTGTCAGCGGCGAGGGAGGACGACAGCGGCTCTGGCTCCGGGCGGATGTTACGGCTGCGCAGACGCTGCCGGGAGGAACGGCCGTGCCTGTGGTGAGTGCTCGTCGACCGCGCCCGCAGCGCGGAGGGAGAACTAACGAGTTGGTAACTAGGGGGAACTGCACTTCTCCAGCGCGCGGGATCCGCTGGCGACTGAGAAAATGGCTGCTGCACCACCGGAAGTGACGTGAACCCAGGGCAGTGGGCGAGGGAACGCGCCCTGATTGGAGCCCAGCGGCTTGCTGGCTGGGTGAAGCCCGTCGAGTGACGTCAGGACCGCGGGAGGACATTTTGGAAGCGGGTAGGCCCTCCCCGGGAGCTGGAGCTGGCTGTGGCCCGACATCTTAAGTCCTGGCAGTTTCCCTTTTAATTTCCCCCTTCTTTCCCATGCTCTGAGCATGTGTGGGATCCGATGGGCAATTGTTATTCCATCCGAGATGCCCTAAGGCAGCCGTTCTCAACCTGTGGGTCGCGACCCCTTTGTGGGTCTAACGACCCTTTCACCGGGGTCGCCTGCCTAAGGTGTAAAGGGGTCTGTTCCCCTCCCCCCGCCCCCACCGTCCGAGACACCTGAGGACGTAAAAGCATCAGATTTTAAGTCTTCGATTGAGATGCTAGCAGCTAGCCTATGAATATAAAACCGAAGAGACCCCATTCACACGGAAATGTGGCTTCCAGTTAAGTGTTATAAAACTCAAAGTCGATTTACTGATAAGAGTTATAATTTATGTCTAAACTTCAACCACTAGCTTCAAACGACCCATGGAATAGTCAGGATTTTTCAGGAATGGCCTGATTATATAGAGACTGTTTTCTACATATGAAGGTAATATTGTTGGCAAGGAGTGTGGAGGATGGCTAACGCTCTTTTCTTAACCTCATTTGCATATTTTAACATATGCTTAGAGAGGGAATTCTCCATTCCGGCCCCCCCCCACCCCCGCAAGCAAACTTAAACTGTGTTTCCCATTCTGCAGTGCAGGTCCAGTTTCACATTTTTAGCTGGTAGTCCAGAGCCCTGGCCTTGCTGACCTGGTCCTAGGTTGGATCTGCAGTGCAGACAAGAGCCGCAGGCCAGCACATTGCTAGGCTACTGGGCGGGTCCTGGCAGTGCTTGTCTGAGTCCTGAAACTCCAGATCAACACCTTCCTCTCCCAGCCAGGAGTCTGACAAGTGGGGGCCAGTAAGCTCACAAAACAGGATGCGCCCAGTCTCCAAGTATTTGGGGTGAGGGTTGAGAGGTTTCCAGATGACCCAGAAACCCGAGGCCGCATTCTTGAAAGATTGTGGCTCTAGGTACGTGAGTTCCCGGGCCCAGAGGAAAGACAGAGCTAAGAAGGCTGGGAATTACCCAGGGTCATTCATTCAGTCCACAGACTACAGCTGGAGAAGGAAGGAGGAATTAGAAGGTGGAGATACACCCTTCCCCCATGGGTAGATGTCCAAATCCATCCTCCAAAAGCTGTGTATGTGCTCAGCTCAGCATCACCACTCTTCTACTGAAGTCCATGCCCTTTAAAGATCAATTTGGCCCTCGCCAGGTGACTCAGAGCATCATCCTGTTCACCAAAACGTTGTGGATTCGATTCCCAGTCAGGGCACAAACCCAGATTGCAGGTTGAATCCCTGGGTTGGGGCAAGTTTGGGAGGCAACCAATCAGTCTCTCTTATATTGATGTTTTCCTCTCTCTGCTCCTCCTTCTACCAAAAAAAAAAAAAAAATCAATAAAAAGATCAATTTAATATGAAAAGTAAGTCTATTAACATAAAATTGCAAGTAAACAAATTGTGGAATGGCAAAGAAAAACTAAGTTAAAGAAATCCCCTTGCCTAGCCAGTGTTGCTCAGTAGTTGAGTATTCACCTGGGAACCGTAAGGTCTTGGTTCGATTCCTGGTCAGGACTCCTGCCCGGGTTGTGGGCTCAATCCCCAATGTGGGATGTGTAGGAGGCAACCAGTTAATGGTTCTCTCTCATCATTGATGTTTCTATCTCCCTCTCCATTCTTCTCTGAAATCAATACAAATATATTTTTTTAAAAAGGAAGAAATCCCAATTCAGATTCTGTTAAAACACAATCTATGAAAGCACTGAGGGCTCACTAATACTTGGGTTCTCCTGCGTTTGGGTCAATACAGAGACCTGTTTTAGTAAAATGTTTTACAGGTGGTCCAGTTGTCTTCCTGACAAAGCTGAACTTGCTGACCTATGAGAACAGGGATGTAGTGGTGCCAGCAGCAAGTGGGACTGAAATTGACCACAGTGATGGGGAGGAGGCAGATAGCTGCCTAAGAGGGTGATGGGGTGCTGTCTAGATACAGCATTTCCATCTTCTCAGATGGGCAGCCCACTCCCTTTGCCCTGGACCTTTGGTATGATGACCCTTCCTCTTCTTAGAGTCTCCCCTCCTCTGTCCTTGCCCTAGGACAGTGATGGCGAACCTATGACATGTGTGTCAGAGGTGACATGTGAACTCATTTTTTTGGTTGGTTTTTCTTTGTTAAATGGCATTTTAAATATATAAAATAAATGTCAAAAATATAAATCTTTATTTTATTATGGTTGCAAATATCAAAAAATTTCTATAAGTGACACGGCACCAGAGTTAAGTTAGGGTTTTTCAAAATGCTGACACGCCGAAATCAAAAGGTTCGCCTTCACTGCCCTAGGACAAGTCTGTCTACCCTGCAGTCAGATCTCTTTTTCCCTGAGGTTGAGTCCTCGCAACTGGCCATCACATGGTGGCAGCAAAGGGAGCAGCTGAAACTTTAGGATCCAGGGAGCCTGTGGTATCACCATGGAAACCCCTGACTAGTCCTGGCCAGTGTGGCTCATTTGGTTGGAGCATCATCCCACCGGTTGGGGGGCCCTTTTCATCTGGGCAGTTCTACGATTTGGTGGGGCCTTTGATAAGAACCAGGCCTCCCTGGACATACCACTAAATGAGGCAGGGGTCTGGGAGCAAGATCCAGAGGAGGCCCAGGCCCTGAATACAGGGGTCCCTGGCTGAGCTCCTCCAGGCTAAGGACAAGCACTACGCCCTGAAGTGGGAGATGGAGACATTACAACAGCAGGCCCAGCAGTGGTGTAGGCAGCAGGCTGAGATCCATGCTCTGGAGAACTTTTTTTCTTCTTTTTAGGTATATTACTGATTTCAGAGAGGAAGGGAAACGGAGAGAGAGATATAGAAACATCAATGATGAGAGAGAATCATTGATTGGCTGCCTCCTGCACACTCCACACTGGGGATGTACCCTGACTGGGAATTAACCGTGACCTCCTGGTTTATAGGTTGACGCTTAACCACTGAGCACGCTGGCTGGGCAATGCACTGGAGAACTTGAATGGGCAGGTACAGGGGCTCCTGGAAGCTTTTTCCTTCCGGGCAACAAGCCTAAATGAGCAGGGGTGATGCATACCTACCCCAGCATGGCACAGAAGGGGAGTTGGGGTGGAATGTGGGTCACCTCCTGGGATGGAGGTGGCATGAACCAGCAAGATCCCATGTTCACTTACATCTCTGTTGCTCATGCTTAATCTCGTGATTTTTATTCCACAAGAAATTAAACCCTCATTTTGACCTCTTGAAGATACGTTATTATGGGTTTAACTACCTCTTTTGGTCGTATCCACAGAATAGGGGATGTTTTAAGGTAGTATATCAGTATTTGTGCAACAAATGTATGATATTTATTCATTTTTAACCAATGCCAAATGTCAACTATGGACCCCAGGGTCAAGCTGAGGGCACGGGTGGGAGAAGCCCAGATCCTCTCATGGTAAGAAGTGCCTCTCCCGCATCTGGAGTTACCCTGCCTTCTCGGAGACCCCAGGCCATCCATGCCCCATACTGCAGCCCTGCTTCTCAATGGACTCTCTGGAAGCAATGCCTCAACATGCTCCTGTCCTTCACTTGGTCCCACGTCTTCCATCTGCCCGCAGGGTTATTCTCTCCTCTGTGCCTAACCTTTCTGGAAGCTGTGTCATTTCCCATTCTATGCTGTGGGTCGCCTGTCCCCAGCCAACTCTGCAGAGTTCCTGGAGCCCAGGCTGGCCTCCTGAGCTTCAGCCAAACACCTACTGTCAGAAGTGTTCGCTACACTACAGTGGCAGTCATACCGTCATATAAGTGGGTCAAGTCAGTATCTGTTCACCTTAAACTCACACAATATTATATGTCAAATAGTGCTTATTTAATTAAAAAAAAAAAGGTAGCCAGTTCTGTGAAACTAGAAAGACTTGATGTTTGCCTGAATGCTCAAGTTACAGGTTATGATTGGGGAAAGTATGTTCAAATAACTTCAGGATCTATTTTATGGGCCATTTAAAATACAAAGCATTTGCCCTGGCCAGTTTGGCTCGGTGGATAGAGCGATTTAATTAGGACTGAAGGGTCCCGGGTTTGATTCCAGTCAAGGGCAAATGCCCAGGTTTCGAGCTCGATCCCCTGTAGGGGGCGTGCAGGAGGCAACCGATCAGTGATTGTCATCATTAATATTTCTATCTCTCCCTCTCTGAAATCAGTAAAAATATTTAAAAAATAAGATAAAGTACAAAGCATTTTATTTGTAGACTCCTGAAATCTGAAAACAAGACAACCTAGGTTATACAGTTTCCCAAAGAGAGTGTCTGGGGCACCATCTAAGCTATTTGCAGTCAAGCCTCCATTCAGCCAAGGGTAGCCTGGGACCACCAGTCAGAAGCCACAGACCGCTATCCACCTGCAGGTCCTAAAGCCGGGGTCTCTGTCATGGACTCCCTTGTCAGAAAATAGCAACAGCCAATCCACATGTAGAGCCCTTGTCCTGGCACTACAGCTGACCCCCCACACAGCAAAGGACAGCTGCTAAACCCTGCTCCCCATCTGCCAGGCCCTACCCACATGCACATAGAGTGTCCAATCAACCCCGAGTTGTTTTGTTCCTCAACCTCCCCAA